GAATTTTATTTTCTCCTTTAAGATTATGTTCTTATTTTTCTATGATGATCATGACTACTCATGTAAGTAAAATAACAACAACAAAGGACTCCCCCCGAAGAGAGTGGGACTGGGAAGATACTGAAGCAAAGTACGTCTGATCAGGGGAAGAGTTTATTTGAGATTTTCTAAGTAATATTTCATAACGCTTTAGCTTATGCATTACATATTCAACAAAACAAGTATGAATATATATTTTTAGAAGGTTCTGATAATTAGGAATGGCCCTCCAGGTTCAGATGAAGGTTTAGCTGCATCCTTCACCATTTGTAGGAGAGTTATCTCTCCAATGTAGACCCAGCTTCAGTTAAAAAAAAAAAAAGGATAGATCCTGGAGAAAGATACAGAAGCCATAGAAAGCATTAGCCCAAAAATAACAATTTCTATGAATGGAAGTCTTTTATTTTTTATTTTTTGGCAGAATGGCTTTGCTGCTATATACCGAATACTATGCCAGGGCTGATCACCAACAGTATGTTAATGACTTCCTCTTTCATCTCTATCCTATTCAGCAGTTAATTAAAATATCCGAGGACTGATAAGCATTTCATAGAACAAATATTTTAAGTCCCCTTTGCCTGGGTTGATAGTGGAATAAAGTAAGAGAAAGTATATCAGCTTTGGAGAAAACAAGCTGAAGTTTAAAGTCCAGCTTGTTGCTTTGATGAGTCACTGAATATCAAGTCTTTGTTTGTTTTCTCATTCATAAAGTAGAGATAATACTTCCTAGTTCCTAATTTGTAAAGACTAAGTGTAAGAATCCCTCATTTACCCGATGATGTGCTTGGTTGACTTGCAGTGAGTTATGACAGCCAGTTGTTAAATTTTCAGGACTTTTTGAGCTGTTTGTTGAACATAGCCACTATTAACCCTGGTTGGTGTGGCTCAGTGGATTGAGGACTGGCTTGTGACCTAAAAGGTCACCAGTTCAATTCCTTGTCAGGGCACATGTCTGGGTTGCAAGCTAGGTCCTCAGTTGGGAGCTGTAAGAGGCAACTGACAGATACTTCTCTTGCACATCTATGTTTCTCTCCCTCTCTTCCCCTCCTTCTAAAAATAAGTAAAATCTTTAATAAAATGGTCACTTATGTCTATTATATCTGTATGGTGGAAATACTAAGTAATGACGAACCCCTGTACATCTCTTCCCAACTCCATGTTAAGTGAATCATGTTATAGTTTGAACTTGGCCACGAGAATTTTTAAACCTTGGAAATTCATTGTTTTAATCCTCACCCGAAGACATTTTCTTTTCATTGCTTTTAAAGAGAGAGGAAGATGGAGGGAGAAAAATTGATGGGTGGCCTTCTTGCATGCGCCCTGATTGGGGATAGATGTGCAACCTGAGAGCACGTGCCCTGACTTGGATTCGTACCAATGACATTCCGGTCTACAGGATGACTCTCCAACCAACTGAGCCACACCAGCCAGCGTTCCACTTGGACGTTAGCAAAATCTATAAATCAGGACTTGATTTATTGCTTTATTGACTGTGTAAGGCAGGGATTCTCAACCTCAATACTCTTTGACCTTTGGAGCTGGATAATCTTGTTGTGGAGGGATACGCTGTACATCGTAGGATGTTTAGCAGCATCCCTGGCCTCTACCTACTAGATTCCTGTTGCACTTCCTCCAAACTTGTGACAGCCACAGTAGTTCCCAGATATTGTCAAATGTTCTGTGGGAGGCAAAATTGCCCTCTTTTCCCCGCTGAGAGCCACTGGTCTAAGGGTTGGTAAACTAAGGTCAGCAGACAAAATTTGGCCATGAATGTTTTTGTACAGCCTGCAGGCTAAAAAGAGGTTTTAGATTTTTAAAAGGTTGTAAAATATGACAGAGATCACATGTGGTCCTCAAAACCTAAAATATTTACTTTTTGGCCCTTTAGAGAAAATGTTTGCTGACCTCTAAAGGATGGAGAAGTTAATAATGCTAATTAAACATAAAAATATGTCATATTTGTAGCTATTAGATTGTGAAAGCCCCACAAAAAAGAGATGACTGAAGAGCCCTGGCCGGCATGGCTCATTTGGGTGGGTATTGTCCTGCAAAGTGAAAGGTTGCCAGTTCAATTCCTGGTCAGGACACTTGCCTGGATTACAGGTTTCTTCCCGGTGGGACATATATAGAAAGCAACCATTCGACATTTTCTCCCTTTCTTTCTCCCTCCTTTCCCCTCTCTCTATTCAGAAACATGTAATTCAGCCAAAACTGCTCATATCACTGGTGAACAAGTAATTCTCCAATATATGTAGTGTTGGAGCTGAACAGGTGCTTACAAAGTTAGTGAGTATAGTTTGTATGTGAGTAGCAGTTTAACAGTAGATCACATATGTGATTCGATGATAATAAATATATTGGGAAAAGAACTAGTGGACTGGGATGCAATTCCATTGGTCAAATCTTGGCTGTACTGTAACCATGGCCACCAATACTAGATTTCAGCAAAACTCAATGAAGGAATTCTGTGGGAATCAACTGGCCACATGGGATTTACAAAAATACACAAAAATTGTATATTGTATATTTTATTATTTGTAAAACATGAATTGCATATCTTCTGTATCAAAAAATTTTAAGATGAACATGTTAGTGTGTGTGTGGGGGGGATGTTTGTGTTTGGGCACGTGTGCACTGCGCGCCTCGGAGAGCTGGTTGTTAGACATTTCCCAGCGCAGCCCTGCCCCTGCCTGTCCTACCCCTATTTATTCCTGCCTCCTCCACACGCTTAGTTGTGAAACCAAGGCTTCTGCTTTACTTCACAGGATTCCCCAAGCTACCTCCTGCTGCAGAGCCTTTGCTGCTGCCCTTTCCCCACCTTTCCCTCTTTCTCCTCCTTATTCCTCCTCCCAGTACACCTGAGATCCTTTGGATCTAGCGCACTTGGGCAAATATGACAGTCAGTGTGAAAGGCCAGGCAAAAAATAACAACTAATGCTTACATCTCATTTCTGTGTTTCAAATACACTATATGTATAGTACTTTCCATGTATTACTTTATTTAATCCTTACAATACTAGCATGAGATAGGTAGTAATTATATCTCCATTTTGTAGGTGGGAAAACTAAGACGTAGAGATGTCAACTAAAAGCTAAAGTCACACTCCTTATAAGTGGTAGAATTGGGATTTGAACTCAGACCATCAGCTCCAGAGTCTGTGTCCTCAGCCATCACCTTCCACTGCCACTGGGGAGAATGAAATCACAACATAGGCCCTCGTCATCCACGAAGAATTGGTCTGGGAGTCAGGCAGGAGTCCCCTGGGCAGCCAGGAGCTACAGAGAGCCTGGGGAGCGTCATCACAAAGCCACTTCAGCTGGGCTGGGCGAGGGAGCATGTACAGGCCAGGCTCCCCTCTTCCTTGTGATAAAGGTGTATGGGGCGGGGGTTCCTCAGTACATCAGGAGCCCATGGGGTAGGGAGTAACTGTGGGACCTACACATGCTATGTAATAAAAGAAGTAAAATACAGCCCCACTAACAGATTTGAGTGTGGCCTTCCACTCACTTACTTTACCAAAGGGAGCATTATGTGCACACACACACACAAGCATGCACACACCTGCCATTTACGTGCAGACACGTTACTTTGAAAAACTGCTATTTTCTCAGCTCACTCATTGATTCAGTTAGCAAATAGTTACGCAATACTTTTTCCCAAGAGACACTGTGCTAAGCCCAGGGATGTATACAAAGGAAAGTCTGCTCCCTGTGTTTGTCCTCTAGAAATTTTGTTTCTGTAACAGAGATAAGGATGAGATAAGTAGGCAACTTATCTTATCTGCAAGGTCAGAGGAATTAAGGGACAGCAGAGGGAAACGAAGGATGAAGGGAGTTTGGTGGGAAGGGCAGGTGAGAGATAGGGCTGGCTTCCTGGAGAACTCCCTCCGCATTTGCAAAGGGCCTGGAAGCCGCGTGGTTTCGAAGGGAAGATAATGCAGGTAAAAGAACAAGCTTGGGTGAAGGCATGAAGGCAGGAGCGCTTGGCACCGCTTGCTGGGCAAGAGGTCTGGGCCTCTGAAGAGACAGGATTCGAGAAAAGGCTAGAAAGACAGTTTAAGGATAGATTGTCAGGGTATGGAAGGGGCCTGTAAATGTCAGGTCATACATATCATTTTTACATTTCTTTTTTAGGCAGTGGGAACCCCTTGGGGATCTTTGACTAGCAGAACGTCTAGCAAGGGGCTGGGGGCATAGCGTGCAGAAAATCAATCGATATTTGTTCAAGGAGAGAAATCATAACAGCTAAAATGTTATTGGATGCTGGCCATATGCCAGGCAGTTTTCTAGACATTTTATATATTTTTAGCGATTCATATCGTTCTCACAGTATGTCTGTGAGATAGTTAGTTACTCCATCCCTGTTTTACAGACAAGGAAACCGAACTCAGAGAGGCTAAAGGATCCTGCTGAAGGTCATGCCTGACCAGAGCAAGCATCTTACCAGAGCTCATACTTTGTAAGTGCTATGCAATTAGGAAAAGAGAAAAAAGGAGAAGAAAGAGAGAAAAGAGTTATGTGGCCAATGTTTTCCTTAAGAAAGGAAGCTGTGATCGGCCCAAATTAGCAGAGGAAAAGTGTGGGATGAAAATAAAAAACATTCCAAACATAGAGTCCACAAGAATCTGTTATTACTCGACAGAGGATGCCAGGGAGAGGGGAAGGGTCGAGAAGGCTCAGAGTTTCTAAACTTCAGTCCCTGGGAGGCGGCGAAACAATGAAAAGAAATTGCAGAAAGAAAACGTGTCCAGAAAAAAAAAGTAATAACGTGTACAGAAATCTGGTACTCAGAACCCCAAAAAGCAGCCTGAGGAGAAGTGTTTTCAAATGCAAGCCTCAGGGCTCCTGGCTTTGTCCCATTCCCTGCTTGGGGGCACTGGGAGTGGTTCCTGGGAATCTCCAGCCTCTCCCTTTCTGTGTTTATATCATTTAGCAGGGACAGGATTGTTAATGACTAATCTGCGTCCCTGAGGCTCGGAGCCAACCCAGAGATGCGGCTGGGCCGGAAGGCCACCCGAGATCATCCACAGCTTTTGCTTGCACTCCCTCCTCCTCGCTCTGCCGTCTCCTGGATTCACCCCAGCGACGCAAACTTGGTGAACATTTGTAGAAAAATTGCTGGGATTTGGAGAGGAAAGACTGGACTTGGGATCTTCCCTGGCTTTGAAAGTTCATCTCTGACCTGAGACAATCGGAGTGAGTACCTCATTCCTCTGGAAGTGGGGTGTTTATCTGTCTCATGGCGACAGAGGGGAAGTGGTCATTTAAAGTTTCTCTTTAACATCAGGAAGTTGGGTGGACAAATAAATGCTAGGTTAGTAGAATTTGATATAAAATCCTGAAAATTAAAAAAAGGGGAAAACTCTTCAAAGCAAACAAAAAGGAGCACAAGTTAATGAGTCTAATCAGACCTTATTGAAAAACGAGTTGTTGACCTTATCGAACAATTATTTAGAAATGTTTTTTTAACATTGTGGTCACCCAGGAGAATCGCTGGGGCAGTGCATTCTGGAAATGCCTCTGTTCTGATTCCATAGGCGATTTGACTTGTGTGGTGTTCTACTTTTTGGTGATCTGTCAGATCCTGGTGTGGGTCTGGGAACATCGCAGCTGTCAGATGACTTGGGAACTAGGCGTAGCACAACGTGTAAGTTATGCTTAATTGACATGCAAGTTCTTCCTAGGAGAGCAGGTTTAAAAAGCTTTCTCTTTTGACTTCCACGGTAAACTCTTGTATTGCTTTTCATTTCTCATATTAGAGCAGATGGAAATACTTTAAAAAGAGGGAAATTATTAGGGAGAACTTTATTATTAAAAGTGTCCGATGTCTGAATCCACGGATAAGGCACCTCTGCCCCCTAGGGAGTTAGCAGTGATGGGGTGAGCCTGGATCATTTCTTTCGGATGAGGTTTTATTTAGAAGTGGGGATGGTGCGGGTTTGTACATGGCTCATTCTGGATGCTTGCTCTGAGAAACACACCTAGATTTAAAGAAATCTGCTGTTGCCTTAGAGCCACCTCGGGGGGGTCTACAAGAGGGATGCCCTGGCTGGGTGGCTCAGCTGGTGGGAACATCGTCCCATACACCAGAAGTCTGCAGGTTGAGTCAGTTCGTGATCAGGGCACATACCTACGTTGTGGGTTTGATCCTCGGTTGGGGCATGCACAGGAGGCACCCAATCAATGTTTCTTTCTCTCTCCCTCTCTCATTCTCTCTCGAATCAATAAACATATCCCCAGGTGAGGATTAAAAAAAAATTACAAGATGGACAGAGAAAGATGTTCAGGAGTCCATCACTGGGTTTCCAGCTGTCATAGACACCTTCGTCTTGGTCACCTCCCCCACCTCCAAATTCTGGACCTGTGCCATTTGCACCGTGGACTCTTCTGTTTTGCTGAGAATGTTGCAATACGGGCTGATGTAACTCTGAGTTAGCCAGGCAGGGCGGGCCAGGGATGACACTCTCTTGTCGTGAGACCCTTCCTCAGGACTTGCAGGTTCGTTTTCCACCACACACCTCTGCCCTCGCCCCCCAGGTGGAGATGGAAAGTAGTGTAATCATTGTTCTTCTTATTTCCAAATCTCCAAGATCTAGCCAGTTGTAATGGAACACCCACTAGCTGTGAGCCCCCGAGGACTTGGGGAAGGAAAAGAAGTGTGTGTGTGCAAGAGTGTGTGTGTGGCAGAGTGAACTCTAGTTGAGTGATTACTGACAGGTCACAGGCTTTCCTTAAACTGCCCATTTTCTTCTCACAATAACCCTGCCTGGAGGTTGTCCTTATATTCATTTTACAGATGAGAAAACTGAGGCCCAAAGAGTTCAAATAACCTGTCATGGTCACACATTTAGGACAAGCAGGATCTGAATATGAGGGCGAGTCTTTCTGGCTCAAAAGTCTTTTTGTTGCCACTCTGACATCGTTGAGGGCCAGCAGAACCTGAAATCCGGGATGATGGCGCAGCAGGTGGACCAGCCTGCACACATTTCAGCGTGACAGGAGTGAGTTGGGAAGCCTCAGTACAAATGCGAACATTCATAGGGCACTTTCTAATGACTATACCATGAGCAGGGGAAGTGGAAAGTTTTCAGCACTGTTTGCTTTAACCCTGAGGTCAGTGTAGAAGAGCTGATTGGAGACTTCAGTTATCAGCATCTTAATTAAAGAGCTGTGATCAGGGACGTCTGAGACAGGCTCCGAACCGCCGTGGTTCGCAAAGGCTGTGGGTTATCAATGCCACGAGAATACAGAAGGCTCCTGTGGTCATTAGGTGGGTAGAGAAAGGAAAGAATAAAGTGTCCGCTCTTTTCTTGATAGGGAGAGTTTTCCCTTCATTTTACTCACAGTCTCACTTTTCTTTTAAATGCTAGCAACATAGATCACAAGGGGGGAAAAGAACAAGGAACAATTTTCTTCTTCCCAGGTATTATTTATTGCCCCTATATTTTCTAGCCGCAGAGATGTAGCCACAAGGCAGCACTGTATGATTGTGCTTAGTCACCAAGCTGCATGGGGAGGCAAAAGTCACCTTATATAGAAATATCCCCCCTCCCTCCCTCCTCTCTTCTCCACCTCCCCTCTCTTCTCTCCGTGATCCCCCAGCCCCTTTGCCCGCCCTCCACGGGGAGGTATTTCCTCCCTCAGTTTGCACCTTTCCAATTTTGGCAGTAAAGGAATGTCTGCTATTCTTTCTCTCCTCTTTGTAAATTTGTGCTAATAGAATGCAGCATAATTGTGAAGTGAAATATTGCCCAGGAAAAAACCTTGCCCGGGAAAGAGATCACTGTCTCTGGTCGATATATTCTTAAGTCAAATAATTACAACAGAGTTCTGGTGACTAAAATTAGTATGTGTGAATAAAAAATAAATTGTTATTAATCCTCATTTTTTAAGATAAAAATTCAAATAGAACGTTGAGATTTTGGTTTCCATTTTAAGTAGATTTGGAAGGCCTTTTCCTTGTCCCAGTGACCCTGGGATAACTTGAACCCCTTATACTTTAATTAATGTCACTAGCTCAAAGGAAAGGAGAAATGGCATAGCTTTGCGGTTTCAAGTCCCGGCAGAATTGTCTAACATGGTCCTCTGGGAGACACTAGTCCATGGAGAAGATAGTCCTGCTGAGGGATGTTGCCGATCAGAGAAAAGCCCACTCTTCAGGGGCTCAGAGCTTCCTGGCCACGCAAAGAACTGTCTGCTTCTATTTCCTAGAGAGCTACTGAAGTCCTTAGTGTTGATGCCACTTCTGCACTAGCCTGTCACTTAAGGAGCAAAAGCTGGCTGCAAAAGCTGGCTGTGGTCTAGTGTTCAGAGAGCAGGACAAAGGAATGTCATTCCAAAGAGGTCGTGTATTCTGGAGTTCACACTCTGAATCTGAGGCCATGATTGCATTTCAAGGGGTGAGGAACTCTTTGACACTGTATTAAAAAAAATACATGTATCTTACAGAGGATTTGTAGGACAGTGAAACTATTCTGTATGACACTAATGGAAAACCCAAAGAATATACAACACCAAGAGTGAACCCTCATGTAAACTATTCAGGTAATATGATGTGTCAGTGTAGGTTCCTCAGGTGTAACAAGTGTACAGCTGTGGTGGAGTCGATAGTGGGAGGGGCTGTACATTTGTGGAGACGAGGGTATAAACAGTAACCCTCTCTTTCAGGGTATTTAAATATGCCTGCTTATGACATTCAACTTTATAACTGGCCAAATGGAGAATAGGGAATGATATCCTCAATGCACTCATCTCATTAAAAAGTCACAGCCTTATAACTAAGTCTAAAAATCTCTATCTTCCCCAAAGCTATCCCCTCGTTTTTCCTCTTTCAATGTGAACACATGTATAACCACCTCTGTCCTTTCAACTGTAGCCTAACATTTGCTACTGCAGACAGAGCACAGCGTGCTTTGCCATTTCACCATTGATGATCATTTTGGCGGTTTCCACCTTCGCAGCAGCAGAAGCCATGCTGCAATAAGCATCCTTGTGCGCACGTGCAGACGTTTCCAGGGCAGATACCTAAGAATTAGAATTGCATGTATTGTAATATACACTGCTAAAACCCTTGCAAAAGATTAAAAAATATGCTCCCACTGGCGGTGTATGCAAACATGTATCCTATACCCTTAGTCCACCTTTTAATCTTATCAAACTTGAAAAGGTATGATAATCTGAAAATGGTATCTAGTTATATTAATTTGTATTTTTCTAATTATTAATCAGTTCTACATGTTTGGTATGTTTATCGGCCACTTGAATTTCCCTTTTGGTAAATTTCCTTCTCATATCCTTTGCCAGTTTCTTCCCCGGGTTGTTTATCCTTTCTGTTTTTATTTATATGAGTCATTTATGTATTGTTCATACTATTTTTTTTTGCTGTTATTTATGTTGTAAACATTTCCTCCCAGTCTGTTTCATATATTTAGTTTTGTTTATGGTGTCTTGATTGCTGTTGTCTTGACTTTAATGTAGTTAACATTCTTCTTTTTCAATTTATTTCTTGTTTAGTAAGTCCTTCTCGGTCTGTAAGTTCAATGAAGATCATAAATGCATTTCCCTATATTTCTCTCAGTGACTTCATAATTTCAAAGTCTTTATTTCACCTGGGACTTATTTTTAAGATGACGCAAGATAGAAATCTTTATTCTGCCTGCCTGCCACCAGAGGAATAGCCAGTTTTCCCAACACTGTTCCTTGAAAAGCCCACCCTTCCTCCACTGGTTTGAGCTGAATTCACTAGCTACAGCGAAGAGAATGATTTGTGGTTGCTCAGAATGTACCATGCTATCTTCTAGTCCTGTGCCTTCCTTACCACATGACTCTTGCATGGTCTAATGCCTGCTCCTTCAAGACAAAATTCAAAAATTAGCCTTCCATCCTCAGGTAGACTTCCTCATCCTCCTGGTCACACCCTTGCTTAAAACCCCCCGATGACTTCCATTTAGAATAAAATCCACTCTTTACCATGGTCAACAGGCCACATGAGAGCAGTCTACTCTTAGATGTCCTTTCCTGCTCCCCTCCCCGCCACCCTCCCCACCCTTTGCTCACTCATTGCCAGCCTCACTGGGCTTTTGCTGTTCCTCCAGCACTCCAAGCCCTGGTCCTTAGCACTTGCTGACCACTCTGCCTGGACTTACTTTCCCTTGACATGGCCTGCTCCTTCTTATCCTGCACATCTCAGTTCAAAA